CTAAAGCGCCTATTTGGAGTAAGCACAGGGACAGCGGATGCACCACGTGCCAGCCAGCCCCGCCCCCTGGTGGGCTGAGCTGGAGACACACACACACACACACACACACACACACACACACACAAAGAAAGAAAAAGAAAAAGAAAAAAAAGTACAGCTTCATTTTGTTTTCTGTGTGGGTGCCTCTGTTCCCCCATGCTGTGTATCAAAAACACTGTGCTATCCTGTTTAGTCAGTTTCCTTGTTTCCTTTTTGGCGCTGGGGTGGAACCCAGGACCTGGCCCATGCAAGCTCCTGCCGCGCTACACACTCGTCCAGGGTGATTTTTAGTGTCCCTATCGCTGCGTTGACCAGTAAGTTGGCATTCGGCAGCTCCCACAGACACCCGAAGGGGCGTGAGCCGCACGCCTGGTACTCTCCCTTCTGTCTGTGCCGCGCTCCGTCCTGTCCCTCGGGACACACAGCCTGCCCCCTTCCTCTCCACGCCCCAAGGAGATCAGGTGTTTTTCTGCTGTGCTCCTTGTTGAGGGCAGAGCTGGCCTAGAGTCCAGGAGGCCGGAACAGCAGGATCTGTTGGAGCTGGGGCAGTTTAACCGCTAGACTTATAAAAGTCAAGTAAACATAACTGGATGACTCACGCTGCTTATAAATGATTCAAGCACAGTCATTAAAATCTGCCGTCCACCCAGAGGGCAGCAGTATGGGTGTGGACAAGAGAAAGGCTGAGAAGATCCTAGCGCTCAGGAGGCTGAGGCAGGGGCATTGGCAGTTCAAGACCAGCGGGGGCTGCATAGGGAGCTCAAGGCCTACCTGGAATCCACAGTCCTCAGCTAAAAAAGGGGGCGGGGGGCTGGGAAGATGGCTCAGTGGTCTAAGTGCCTGCCTTGCAGTCGTAAGGACCCAAGGTTGATCCCTGGTAATGCATGCTGTGCCGGTCCAGGAACCCCTAGTGTTCCATGCCGTTCCGAAAACGATCACTGGGGCCTTCACCTGTGACCCCAGTGCTGGGGCGGCTGAGACAGGAGGATCACTATGAATCTGAGCTGCGTAGTGAGATCCTGTATCCAATAAATATTTAAAAAAAAAGACTCAGTGTGGGTTTTGTCTTTAGTGAGGGAAGGGCTCCTCTTTAGAGTTTTTGTTAGGAAACATTACAAACTGTAGCTCATTGGAAATAACATCCAAGCACCCAAGTACATGAAATAGGATAAATTCCCTCCTCTCCCCCAGCCTGCCTGAACCGTCTCCCTCCCCAGCAAGGCCTGGTGACAACAATGTATAGATGGGGTGTTTATTTAAGTGGAGTTTATTTTTCCTTAAGTACAATTTCAAGGCAACAGTTTTACACAGGAAAGAGCAATTATAAACTATGGCCTCTGCTGGCAATGAGACGCAGGTTAGGAACACGAAAATGCTCTGGGCGCTGACTACTCTGAAGCCTGGCATATGACAGGTCCTGGGGACACCCGGGAGGGCGCAGCTCTTCCCTGTGCTGCTGGGATGCGGCCTGTCACCCTGCACCTTACCCTCTAGCTCTTTCTTCTCAAGTTCCCCATTAAGTATTCTGAGTCTAGGACCAAGCCCAAACACAGCAGGCCTGTGGGGCAGAGCGTAAAGTTCTGCACACAAGAGAGAAGCTAAGGTCTGTGTATCTTGGTGAAATCGGGGAGAGCTTAAAGCGGAGAAGCATTTGCAGCCAACCTTGAAGGTTGGCAAGATCTGACCACAGACACAGGGCAGGGCAAGGGGAGGTCTGCCCTGGGACTTAGAGAGGAGCCGTGGAATCAGGAAAAAAGAAGTGCCTCGTAGCGGACTCTTTTCTTTCTCCCTCCATCTCTCCCTCCCTCCCTTTTTTCCTTTATTTTTTTTAATTTTTAAAAATTATGTATTTATGGGGCTGGTGAGATGGCTCAGTGGTCTAAAGCACCTACTTAGAACAAGCTTAGCAAAGCACAGGGACCGCGGTTCAATCCCCCAGCACCACATGCCAGCCCGCCCCGCCCCCTGGTGGGCTGAGCTGGCCACACACACACACACACACACACACACATAATAAAATTTTAAAAATAAATAAATATTCTGCTCTTAACCTCCATTGGTTCCTAAAATTCATTCTTTAAAAAAAAAATATGTATGTATTTATTTATTTATTTGGTACAGGGTCTCACTACATAGCTCAGACTCAGTGATCCTCCTGACTCTGCCTCCCCAGTGCTGGGATTACAGACGTGCACCATCACATCTGGTTTCTGGGCAGCATGGTGTCCCATGGGTTCTGGGGCCAGCATGGCACCCTTGTTGGGTTTTTGAGGCAGGATCAGGCTGGCCTCCATGCCTCAGCCTCCCCGGTGCTGGGACTATAGGTGTGCGCCTCTGTACTAGGCTGCTGGTAAATGTCTAAGGCTTCTCTCTCTCTGGAAAAGAAGCCCTGATGTAGAGCCCGGCATTCCAGCTGCGGTCGGATTCCTGTGCACTGTGGGGAAGGAAGTTCCACAGCGACAGGCTCTGTGATGGCGGGTGTCCAACTCTGCCTGGCCAGAGCCCTCCCTGCCCTCTGCAGACCCTCCTGGGTGACACAGGTGACAAGTGACCTGGCCTAGGCAGTACAGGCACAGCCTCGGGGGTGGGGGAGGGGTCAGGAGGGAGGCTGGGCCACTGTCACCAGGGCCATCCCTGGTGGCTCCAGGCTGCACCTTTGTGTGTCTGCGCTCAGCATGTGGGGTTGGGGACACGAGGCCTGGCTATGTCATGCCACAGAGCGAAGTCCTGGACTGGAGGTAGAACTCGGCTGTGGCTGCAGCCTTTCTGCAGCCCGGTCCACTCCCGAGTACAGAGATCCCAGAGAATCCCTGGAGCTTAGTGAGATCACACTCCTTTTTGGTCTCTACCTTCATTTCTATAAAATGCACATGCCTGCCTTTGGTGAAGACTGGAATGAGAACGCAGACAGCAGCCACCCTGAGTCCCTGTGGCTCTGCGTGAGGACGCAGCACCTCTGTCATCCGCCTGCAGAGTGCCGCGCTGTCCTAAAAGCTCCAGAGGGGCAGGTGGTGCAGGTTGGTGACTTCTAGCGCAGCAGGCCCACCGTGAGCCAGGCGGCAGTCCCTGAGCTTTTCAGAGGACGGCTCATTTACTTTCTGCAGAGCAAATAGTAACACCGGCACACCCGCACTTCACAGAGGAGCAGGCAAGGCACGAGTGGTGAGGTCACTTCTCTGAGATCCTGCAGTAAGTGAGTGGCCAATTGGGACTTCCCTGCACTCGCTCTGTTCCTCAGAGATGCAGCCAGCCCCTACCCTGGGACAGAACCGGCTGTGGATGTGTGTGATGGCGTGGGGGTGGGGGGTGGGGAGTCTCTGAGGCAGTGGAACCTGGTGGATCTGGCTCCTTGTCTTGCTTGTTGGTCAGAAGTTCTGTCCAGAGAGGGCATTGTTTTGTTTTGTCTTGTCTTTATCTTTGGGAAAGCTATTTCCTTTTTGGGGGGATGCTGGGAATCGAACTCAGGACCACATGCTTCTCAGGCAGGCACTGTGCCAATGAACTATATGCCCGGCCCTATTTCCTATAGAGTGTGATTAAATCTCTACTTTGTTTTTTTCTTTTTTTTTTTTTT